GGAGCCGTGCCGCCGGGCGCCCACACACCTGGAAGGAGTGGAAGAGGTACCAGAAGGCCCAGGCGTTTATCACGTTGTAATACATGGAGAGGAAGAAGGAGACAACGACGCTGGCGACGCCTGCGGGCATGGAGGGAGGCGCTCAGTCAGCGGTGAAACCCTGAAACGCCCAGGGCCCCGTAACGCCCCGGGGCAGCACCGCAGCACGGGGAGGGGGGGCTTTGCCTCTGCACGGCCCCGTGCGCAGGGCATGCCCCCGCCACTGCAGCCTCCTCCTCCTCCTCCTCCTCCTCCTCCCGTCAGGGCTATCCTGCACTGGATCTTATACTTTAGCCTCTGGGGGAGTGAATATTCAATGTATCATTAAAAATAGAATGTGCACTTCAGCAAATTAGCGATAGTTTGAGCTATTGGGGTAATTTAATAACATAATAATGTAGCTGAGAGCGGACATTGGCAAATGGTAGGCAGTAACGGTAGGAAATTAAGACATCGTTTTATCACTCAATGTTGAGCTTATCAGGATGATGCTCTTGGGGTCAAAGCCCAGTGCAGGCAGCCCCAGGGGCTGGTTAAGCGCTGACCTTCACACTGCGATTTTGGCAGCCTGCCTGAGGCCAGGGGGACTCACACCTCTGTGGCCGGGGACCTGGTACAGCAAGCCAGGATCTGGCCCTAATGCCCTGCGAGGGACGGGGTAAATGCGTGCTGCGGGGCATCTGGATAACCGCTTTGCTCAGCCTGGTGAGACCCAGTAACACCCCAACTCCTGCCTGGTTTCTGCTCTGAAAGATAAAGCTCTCCATTCAAAATCATCTGTCTTCCCTGGGCGCTTAAAAATAAAGTTCCAAACTGAGAACATACCGACACCGCAGAGGTAGGGACTTATTATTTTCCAGGCACCGATGCTGCCCTGACGCATGCGCTGCCCCACGGCCAGCTCCAGGTAGAGCAGTGGCATCCCCTCGGCGATCAGCATGATAAAATATGGGATCAAAAAGCCGCCTGCAAGAAAAACCCAGCAGACGGCCTTCAGCAGATCAGCAGCATAATAAACACCAGGTTGCCCTATTTGTGGTCAAATCACCTCATTAGTATCCCAGAAGGTGGCTGGAGCTGGGTCCTGTCCGGGCACCTTGAGAGCACAGCACAACCCTGAGGGACATCTCAGGGGGTTTCAGGTGGCATCCCAGATGCCGGTGAGCCCCGAGCGCCTTGGCGTGGGGAATTTTCCGCAGGCACTTGGCAGCGCTGGGAATTCTGCTGTTAAAATGTGCCGGTCGCCACCCTGGCGCAGCGGGGCTGCCCAGGTGCTTTGCGAGCGGTTTGAGCAATGTTCTGGGCTGGGGCTGTTAAAGGGTAACTAACCACCAGCCAAACCTTGTAAAAGATAATGAGAGAAAGAGGGCGAGGGAAAGATTTACTTTGTGTGCGGCGGTCTGCGGCAGAGCCGAAGCGCTCGATGAAAAAGTAACAGCAACGTCTGCGTTGAATAGAATTTTAAGTAACATGTTGAAGTTCTGGCCTGGCTTGAAAAAAAACCCCAAACTACAGAAAACTCCCCCCAAGTCTGAGCCCACAGATGCCAGCAAAGGGGTGAAGGCTTTTCCCCTGGAGTCCCACCTGCAGGAGCAGACCCTAGGACAGAGGCACACGGCCTCCCCATGCCCCATGTCTCTTGGCACAGAGAGCCGCAGGGATGCTCCTGCAGAAGAGGAATAGCAGGAACGGGCGGGCAGGCGGCAAGGGAGGGGAAAGGACCTTCCCAGCCGGCAACCAGGATGCGCTTTGGCTTAAATTTCTGCTGGGGAAAGAAAAAAAATCCTTGTCCTCAACTTGGGGCTTGCTTTAGAAAGAGCTGCTGACTGAGGCAAAAACTGGGTTTTTGCAAAGGCTTTCCTGCTTCCCTTTTTACAGCAAGCCAAAAATATTTACGTAAATATCTCTTATTTAGGATTTAATCTGCAGCATTAACATTCCTTGCAATGGGCTCGGTGCAGCACGGCAGAGGAATGAACTCCAGGCAGTGACTGAGGCAAAGAACTGGAAATAAACACTGAGCAATAATCCGGTTTATTCTGGGAATTAATTTCCCACCTCCCGGCTCTATCGTTCTTAACAACCCCTTTGTTAGTCTGTTAGATAACTTCCTATGCCACAAGGGAGCTGCTGGAGGTTTAAGAGCTGCTCTGTCCTGGTGGGGTGTGAGCTGCCCCAGCAGCCACTGAGGGGAGTTTTGCCATGTACCGCAGGGGGAATCAGCATTAGGCCCTTTGCGAAGGCTTTTCCGCTCTCCCAGCAGCTTTGCCTCATGCTTGGCATTGGCTTTGCCACCTTGCAAGGAGGAGGAATGCCTCTGGGCTTGCTCTTCACTCCAATGTCCCCCCGCAGCTGGGGGTGCTGGGGCTGAGCCCCCTGCCCTTTGCTCTGCACCCTATTTGCACTCAGATCTTGCTCCTGATGCTACTTTTCCTAAAGGGTAGAACTAAAATGCCTCATATAAGTGACTCAGGGCAGCTGCGTGAACCAGCTCCTTATCTACTGTAAACCAGCACAGCTCCACTGACCTCCCTGCTCATTTACACCCAGCGTTGCTCCCTACGGTGCCAACCGCCTGCGAAAAACAGCCCCCAGGCCAGACCCCTGCAGTTGGCACAACATGTGGAGTGTGCCCCGGGTCTGGTCGAGGCACCAGGCTTGGCCAGCAGAACCCTCCCCTCTGCTCAGCATCCCGCCTGGTGCCCAGAGGCTCCCTCGCCCAGGGCTGAGCACCCGCCCTGCTGTAAACCCATCCCAGTGTCCTTTCAGCCTGGCCCCACCTGCTTATGGACAGATTAACTGCACCTATGAGGTTTGAACCCCCCTTGCTCTGTTCGGGCTAACCTCTTTGGAGGTGAGCAAGAAGGAGGCAATATGCTGATGAACAGAAAGGCAGGAGGTTGCAAAGTCTGCAAATAATACCCTGATTATGAGTACCATGATCAGTGATAAGGGCTCTATCGCTCTGCTGGGCAGGACAGGGACTAGCTCTGTGCTTCTCTACAAGAAAGATGGCAAACAAGCAGTTGCTGGCATCTGCCCTAAGCCCAGTGCCTGGCATATCCAGCTTTTAAGTTCCTGAAACAATGTTTTGTCTGCGTGGGTTTTGCAGACCCCTGGAAAGCCACTGAATCCTTTTTAAAAGGGTGGTGAAAAACAATTAAGAAAAGCAAAGCCTGCTGTCAGGAGTTTTAGTTTCAAAGTAGGGAGAGCTGCCTCTCCCCTGGGAAATTAAACCAGGGAGGACAAAAGTAGTGGACAAACTACTTTTTTCAGAAAAGACTTGGGTTTATTGAATCTTTTTTTCTAGTAATCAAGTGTTCCAGTTTTGGTTACATTTCAGAGAATTTTCACCATCTACTACACTACTGATGACTGATAAGAAGAGGATAAACCAGCCAAAGACCCCAGCATCTGAGTTTTGCTGTCCTTCAGGATGTCTGCCAAGACAGGCTGCTGGTGAACTCGTCACGTGCAGTTTAACTGCGTACAGAAACACTTGCATTTTAAGCTTTGGGCTGGAGCTCAGTGTCAGACATGAAGTCCTTTCCCTCAAAAGCATCTGTGTAGAGGAATACAGCCAGAATTGCTGCATGTCTATCACTTCTGCTATTTGAAACATCTAAGAAAGCTTCAGCCACTGCAGCATCTAGCTTCTACTATAATTTCACCCAGTGTATTATCTGGATTTTTCTGACCCGATCCCACAGAGCAGCTCTGATGCCGTCCCAGCACCCAGCTGGCTTTTCAACAAGCAGCATGAACCAACTCCTACCACCACATGTGCATTTAGAAGTAAGCTACAAGCCAACAAAACAAGCACAAAAGAAGCAAAAAGCACTTAAACATCTCAGTGTGTTTCTTCCTGAAAGGAAGAAAAGGCAGAAGCAGACCAGAAGCAAAGGAGGCAGATGCTCATCATGTCACTTAATGCATGGCTGAGACGGGTCCGACACTACGGCAACAGATGCAGTACGAGAAGCAGTATAAGACTGGGATGTCTTACAAAGAGAGGGTTTTTATAAGGATTCTTCAAAACATGGTCATTAACCAGTGGTAACTGTATACTAGAAAAGATTATTAGTGTTGGTTTTTAATTAATCTAATTAACTGACTTTTGATTTCTAAGGAAGAATATCTGTGGCTGGCATGATACAGCCATCATCATCTTTCTCCAGTTTGGACCTAGGAGAAGGATAAACTTTCAAAGAGCCTTTTTTTTGGAGCCCAAACCAATTTATTCCCTGTTTTCAATGCTTCCCTGGAGGCTTTAGCTGTGGAACTCCTGTTGATTAAGGAGTTTCAGCCAACTTCAAGGCAGATTTGCAGCCAAGTTATCACCTCCTAAAGTAAGGTTTATATATAAAAGACAACACATTAATGACAGCAACTTGAAATGATAGTTGATCCTTGAATTAAATCAGCATAAGCATTTCCCTTTCTCAATATGTTCCAAGTGAATTAACAAGGAACTGAACTAGTTTCCGATGCCTTCAGAGTGGTTCAATGGGGCAAGAAAGTAATACATCAACACCATGTGGACCTACATCTCTCACTCTACCATCCTTTCAGAAAACGTGGGCCTTCCCACTGTTTCACTGCACTTCTAGGAAACGAAAGCTGCTGTATCGGGGCAGCTGTCAGGTAAAAGCCTTATGCTAAAGAATATGTAAAATAAAGCAGCAATAGAAGAGATTGCACACCAACAAAAAACCTGACCTCCTGGTCTGCCCCGGACCCTGGTGGGTGGACAGGGCGTTAGCATGGACAACATACTTTTGGATTTAAAGCTTGCCACATCCTCCTCGAGGGAAGCAAGAAACATAAGCCACACTTACCTCCTCCGTACATCTGACATAAGTATGGAAACCTCCACACATTTCCCAGCCCCACAGCATAGGAAATGCAGGCAAAAACAAACTGCAGGGGATTGTCCCACAGCGGCCGGGATTTCTCCATTGCCTACTTGCAGGCAGAGGTTTCAGCAGAGCTTTCCTGCCTTCACTCCTTCAGGTACTCTGCCAGCCCTGCCTCAGACTCCACGCCAGCCCGGCTTGGAGGGGAGGGAAAGGCACTATGCTTGCCAATTCCTATCAAGCTTTTTAATTACTAATCTTATTAACAGGCACATACTGAAGTAGGAATGCTGGTAAATAGATTATAGACACACACAGAACTATAAAATTGGTATTTTGGGTGAATAGCTGCTTGGGTTTTGACTGGCATTTCTGGGAAGGATGTGAGCCCAGGGATTTTTATCGGCTCACATGCCGACTTGACACAGGGAGGAAATAACACTGGGGCTGCAGCTTGGTTTTGGAAATGGGAAACTCCTTCCCCAGAAGGCTCTCTTCCCTGGGAGTGGCATTTGTGTGCATGAGGCACCAGCTTGGATTTGATAGCACAGGGAAGGGATTCCTACACCATTAGGACTTAGTGGCTGTCAGAGCTGGCTTTTATTCCCAGTGTCCCTTGTCCTAAACAGGTCCTTGGGCATCCTGTCTCGTGCACCCTGGTGCTCACCCCAACCAGCCCAGCACACTCCCCAGCTCCAAAAGTGGTCTTGAAACAGTCCCTATCAGCCATGTGGGTCCCCAGCCTGCTGCAACCTTGAGTATAACACTCAAGTTTGACCCTCTGGGAATACTATCCTCCCTCTACATGCGCTCTGTGTGTGTGAGAGTGCAAAATAGCCCAGTCTCTTTTCACTTACCTTCATGCTCAAACGTCACTGCTGCAGATGAACTTTTCTGAGGGGTTGGTGTTTTAAAATACTGTTAAGCAGCAGGGACCAAATATATACAAAGGCCACAGGGAAAAGGTGTCTGTGGCCCGTTGTGGAGGCAGAAGGACCTAGGAGGCCTTTGGGTTGTCTGAATGCACACGGAGATGCCAGGTCTGAACGTGAACCCTGTGCGCTTGGGCCCCTGCCAAGGTACACTTTGAGCTCAACCACTTCAGACAGGTCTCCCAGTGAAGGAGTGTCTGTAGCACTAAAAAGGGGCTGAACAAGTCCAAGGACTCAGCTTCCTTCCTCTGTCTAAACGTGTTTTTTTTCATGGCAGGACTGGGCACCTTTCAGGTCCATTCTACAAATAAGACCCACTCAGCTGCTGTCAGCCTCATTCCTCCAGCACCAGCAACTTGCTCCCTGCCAGCGCTGTGCATGCTGCTCCAGCATCACATCAGGCACTGGCAGAGCCGAGGCATCCAGCTGCGGGTACGGGTGAGAAACCCTACCACGGGGCCTTTGGACACGAGCCCAAACTCCAGAGTATGTCATGCAGTGTTGTTGAGACCAGCAGAACCACTCTGGTGGACTTGCTGACCAGCCACCTACAGTAGCAAAGTCGCAAAGTCACAAAGTGGGACACCACTTTTTTGCATGCTAGAAAAGGTGACTGCAAAAGGTTTATGCATCTCCTGTAAGTGAATCCATTCTTCACGGTGTGTTTTAGCACTGCTGGAAATGGAGGTTGTCATCGGAAAACATCAGGGTTTGCCAAACCCTCCCAGAGTACAGTTTTGAGGGAGCTTGTGGCTCTTCTGCAACATCCTTGCTGTTCCTGTCTTGCCCGCAGAATTGCAACATGCCACGTAGCCCTGGAAATAGATCTCATGGGTAGCCCTGAATTCTGCTGGAAGGAAAAACCCAAGGCAATTTTAGGTCCATAAGCTATTAAACTGAAGGACACACACTGAGAAACTACAGCTATGTTAACTGTACCACATCACAAAAACTTTTGCAAATTATTAAAAAGTTAAATGTCCGTCACTGCCTGTGGGATTTATTACAAGTGATGCTTATAAATAACATACAGCATTTAATAACTCACAGACAGGACAGCCTTAAAAATAGCACATCACTAGCACTTGGGATGCTTCTGTGTGAATAGATTACTGCTACTGATGAGCATAATCAAATTAAACATTTCCTTGGCTCTGTACCTCCTTCCCATTACATTTCAAACTAGTTTACTAATGGTCTAGGGAGACTGTGCAGGCAGAGAGGTGTGGTGTCCTCGGCTCAGGTCACGATGTTCAGATGCAATGAAATGAATCCCTGCCTTTCTCACAAGTGTCAGTCTCACAAGCAGCTTGGATCACAAACTACTATGAGTTTTTAAAGGCAGTCATGCACATAGGCACCCAGCAAAGTGCCTGTCATCCAGTGGCTCCTTGAGAGCCACTTAAAATACATTGGAAGGTGTTTAAACAGATAACACTTAGGGATTCTTCCTGTGGGATTTTCCATACACACCTCAGATAATCAATATACTATTTCTGATGCCATTCAAGATTTCATCTCCTTTGAACTTCCTTCCTTTGGGTTGGGTGAGGACTTGGGCTTTATCTGCAGGGACAAAGATAAGCCTCTAATAGACACATGCAAGAACTTCTGATTATTTCACTGGTCATGTAAAAGGAGGATTAGAAGGAAATTTTTTCCCCCGTACCTAACAAATGTAAGAGTGTGGGGTTTGGGGGAAGTGGGTGAGAAAAGGTAGGGGTTCATCTCCACACAGGCCAGGGACTGATGGGACAGCATGAGAACTGCCCTATGTAAATCTAATCAGAAACTGGTAAACAAAGCAGAGAATCCCATTTGTCATTGAAGCAAAACTGGAAGTACTTAGGAGAAGGTACCGACTGAAAATCCTGGGCTTGTGTCTCTTGACACCAGCACAGTGAGAAGCCAAGCACTTCTCCTGGATACTTAAAACACAAACAAAAAGGGAGTTTGGAGTCCTAGCAACAGGTTGGCGACCATGATTCGAGGATGGGGAGAAGCTTAATAGATCTATTGCCAAAAGAGGTGGAAACAAGGGAGGAAGGAATAATAAACAGCAGTGGAAGAAGTCTGGTATAGACAACTCCTAGATAATTCCACCAGGTAGCCTGGACTTGTTATGCTACATCCAACAGAGAATCATAGAATCACAGAACCATTTAGGTTGGAAAAGACCCTTAAGATCATTGAGTCCAACCATTAACCTAACACTGCCAAGTCCACCACTAACCCATGTCCCTAAGCACCACATCTACACGTCTTGTAAATACCTCCAGGGATGGTGACTCAGCCACTCTCCTGGGCAGCCTGTTCCAGTGCTTGACAACCCTTGCAGTGAAGACATTTTTTCCTAACAGTCAATCTAAACCTCCCCTGGCGAAACTTGAGGCCATTTCCTCTTGTCCTATCGCTAGTTACTTGGGAGAAGAGACCGACATCCCCCTCGCTACAACCTTCTTTCAGGTAGTTGTAGAGCGTGATGAGGTCTCCCCTCAGCCTTCTCTTCTCCAGGCTAAACAACCCCAGTTCCCTCAGCCGCTCCTCATTAAGACTTGTGCTCCAGACCCTTCACCAGCTTCGTTGCCCTTCTCTGGACACGCTCCGGCACCTCAGTGTCCTTCTTGTAGTGGGGGGCCCAAAACCGAACACAGTATTCGAGGTGCAGCCTCACCAGGGCTGAGTACAGGGGCACGATCACCTCCCTACTCCTGCTGGCCACACTATTTCTGATACGGGCCTTATCCCCAAGAAAGCATGCCTGAGAAGAGTCCCTCTTTTTATTTTCCTTGCTTTTCTTTAGCACCACAGCTCTATCCATCTTCTAACTGTAGGTTTTTTTAGGGTACTCCCTCCATAAAGGTGCACTCAGTGCAGTTCTGATTCACAGAATTGCACCTAATTCAATTGCACCAACCCTCAGAACCTGCTTGTGTAAAGCAAAAGAGCCACAAACTGCCACCTCACTAAAATCAGAAGGATACCTGTCAGTTAGTCAGTTCTTCTGCTTGCCTTCTGCCAGTTCATGCTTTCTCTCTGTCAAAGCTTGCCGGCCGTTTGGGGAGGTCTCCAGGCAGCTCTCTTTTTCACCAGCAGCTGTCAGTCGTGAGCTGCCCTGTCAGAGTCCTGCACCAACCACTTAGCATCACCATCACTTACAACAGACACTCCAAGACACTACATTAACAGGTTCCTAAAAATAATAATTAAAAATTGATAAAAATCAAAGTCTCTAGATATTAAGACTGCTGAAATAGAATAACATGTATTACCCACCTTTATTTGCAGAAGACTTGACTCCAAATACGCTGCCTAATGTTTCAGAGTATGTCTGAGAGAAGACTGATAAGGAGGGCAGATCTAGGTGCCTTCAGGGAGAGTTCTGTAGGTGGTGGGAGCAGGGCAGAAATCCTGTGCCAATGCTTTCACTGGGACATTGTCAAAATTAACAGTCATAGGGTAACCCCCGTGGGCACATTCTCTGCTCAAAGCCAGTTAGAAACATTTACAATAATAATTCTTACCTGCTCACATACAAACTTACCTTCAAATCACATTAAATTTTTTTTTAATGCGTTTTAAAAGGCCTGGTGTCCTAGAAGGGCTCAAACTTTTTAAGCTTGATCCATTCAGCCACGTGACACCCCAAGATGATTCACGTTTGTTTCCTGAGGCAGTAAGAATCATGTGACTGTGGTCTGACAGCATTTGGCATCATGCAGAAGCCAAGAGCAGTCCTTGATAATGCCAGAAGGGGGAAATAAAACTGAGGAATCTTAAGAACTTTTTAGCTGAATTGAAATCTAAGTGCCTGGCAGATGACTGTGGGTTTCCCAAAAACAAGGTATGTGGGAAATGTCCAGATTGCAGCTGTCCTTACATTGGTCTATCAAATAAAGTGGAGCACTTGCAGTTTAAGTGTTATATATTAGTACTCATCTTAGGACATAAAAAACCCCCAGCTATTATCCACAAGAGTGTCCTGGTTCCAGCTGGGCCAGAGTTAACTTTCTTCACAGTAGCTGGGGGGTGTGCTGTGTTTTGGGTTTGGTATGAGGAGCATTGTTGGCCCATTGATGCTTTGGCTGTTGCTGGGTGGTGCTTGCACCTTTTCAGCCTCCCATGCCCTGCCAAGTGCAGGGGACGCTGTGGGGCGGGGAGCACAGCCGGGGTGGTTGACCCAGCTGGCCAATGGGGTATTCTATACCATGTGACGTTATGCTCAGTATAAAAAATGGGGTGGGGGGAGGGGGCTTGCCCCGTTCGTGACACGCGGGCGGCGGTCAGTGAGCAATTGCATTGTGCATTGCCTGCTTTGTATATTCTGCTATTGTTGTTGTTAT